GAGTGACGTAGCGGACGGCAAGCACAAGGCGGCTACGCTACGGAAGAGGCGCAAGGTCGCTTGGAGAATTGGAGGAGGGGAGGGGAGCGCACAGACAGTTCCTTCATGACGTCCTGATCTGGGCTGGCCCCGCCTTCCTCACTCGCCAGCACCCGCGGACCAATCACGCAGCGCGACACGAAACACGGGCGGGGAAACCTGGCCTGCTGGGCACCAATGTCAGCCGCTGTCACAAGTCCTGTCTCGGTCCCCCCCTCCTCCGTGGCTCTTACTGCGGGTACTAGCTGCTTATTGGCCGCTCGCTCAGCATCCTAAGCGTCTTATCCAGTAGGAGACCGGAGCGCAGCTGTCCGCCCGCCCCCTGATGTTTAGATGGTTCTGATTGGGAAGTCAGCTGTCAGTCTTCTTTAAACGCCTGAGGATAAAGGCGAGGCAAACACCGGGAATGAAAGGCGTCAGCTGATTGGCCGCGGTGAAGTGGCAGTCGCTGCAAGGAGGGAGCGGAAGGGGACGGAGCCAGTCCCTTTTAAGCCACCGGAAGCGCGACCTTTCACTTTTTACTGGGCGCCTCAGCGGGGGGTTGTGTTGCTGTAGAAACAGCGGAGGGTGGCGAAGCGGGAGTCACCTGACTGGGGTGTCACCACCAGGGCTGCAAGTCTCTGCATGGCTGCTCTGACCGTGACTGATAACGAGAAGATAAATTTACATGACAGACATTTATATTGACCTCCTTTCCCCTGAGGCATCGCAGTGGAGCGTGCAACCCAGAGCATGCTCAGTGCAGCGTGCCCCCTTCCCCCAGAGGGCCTAAGTGTAGCGTGCCCCCTCCCCCCAGAGCATGCTCAGTGCAGCGTGCCCCCTTCCCCAGAGCATGCTCAGTGCAGCGTGCCCCCTTCCCCCAGAGCATGCTCAGTGCAGCGTGCCTCCTTCCCCCAGAGGGCCTAAGTGTAGCGTGCCCCCTTCCCCCAGAGCATGCTCAGTGCAGCGTGCCTCCTTCCCCCAGAGGGCCTAAGTTTTGCGTGCCCCCTCCCCCCCCAGAGCGTCTGTAGTGCAGCTCAGAGCACCCCTGCAGTGTGCAACCCAGAGCACGCTTAGTGCAGCATCTGCCCCTTTTTCCCCCAGAAGATCCTCTGCAGATCGGAGCAACTTCAGTGGAGCTTGCAACCCAGAGCATGCTCAGTGCGAGGACCTCAGTGTAGTGTTCCCTCAGAGGGGCTTTAGTGCAGCTCGGAGCACCCCTGTAGCATGCAATTCAGTGCAGTGTGCAAACTAGAGGGGCCTCAGTGCAGTGTGCAAACTAGAGGGGCCTCAGTGCAGTGTGCAAACTAGAGGGGCCTCAGTGCAACGTGCTCCCCCTTCCCCCAGAGGGGCCTCAGCAGAGCATGCAACCCAAAGTGCAGCTCAGAGCATCCTAGGAGCAGCATGCTTCCCCCCCTCAGAGAGCCCTCAGTGTAGCATGCCTTCAGTGCGGTTTCATCCTCTGACTGTGTGAGTACAGAACTCGGATGTGTAGGGGTCAGAGGATGGAAGCGCAGTACGTCGTCTGGTTATAGGGAAGCATGTGACGCACCATTTTGCCCATGTGACAGAACTGGCTACACAGGCCGCTAGTGCCGTCACGTGGTGGGGGCTGGGAGAGAATTTTTTGCCTAGAATCACAGGTAGGCAACCTTGGCACTGGGGGGCCTCGGGGAGTCAGGCCTGTGGCTGTCTTGCAATGCTTCATGGGACTTGTAGATCCCCCAAGCCGAGGAGTGACTACATCTGGAAGTGGAAATAAATCCGGTCTCTGGAGCTCTTCCTTTACTGTGCACATTATGTAGAGTTCCCCCCTAGTTGTCCCTCGTCGCTCCATTCAACGCCTTGTTTTCCCCCCAAGTTCGGCATCTTCATACGGGTAGCCACTGATGATGTCACTCATGTAAATGCGTCCTGAAGTTCTACCATCCCATCTCCTTTCTCTGCATCTTACGCATTGAGCAGGCTGGGAGTGTACAGGGCAATGCACATGTGCCATAAGGAGTGTACAGGGCAAGGGACATGTGCCACAAGGAGTGTACAGGGCAAGTGACATGCCACAAGGAGTGTACAGGGCAAGGGACATGTGCCACAAGGAGTGTACAGGGCAATGCACATGTGCCACAAGGAGTGTACAGGGCAATGCACATGTGCCACAAGGAGTGTACAGGGCAATGCACATGTGCCACAAGGAGTGTACAGGGCAAGGGACATGTGCCACAAGGAGGTTACAGGGCAATGCACATGATGCCACAAGGAGGGTACAGGGCAATGCACATGATGCCACAAGGAGAGTACAGAGCAATGCACATGTGCCACAAGGAGGGTACAGGGCAATGCACATGTGCCACAAGGAGGGTACAGGGCAATGCACATGTGCCACAAGGAGGGTACAGGGCAATGCACATGTGCCACAAGGAGGGTACAGGGCAGTGCACATGATGCCAGAAGGAGGGTACAGGGCAATGCACATGTGCCCTATACATGTAAATATTTTTTCCTCAGAAGATTGGTAGTTTCTTCTGCTTAACAATCAGTTGCATTGCCAGCTTTATTGTTCCTTACACAAGAGCGACACACAATGTCAGCCTTCGGCTAAGTTGTTAACATTCTGCAGACCCCCCTACCACAAACTGATCCTTCAAAAAACAGATACCGGACAGCAGCCATCCAAAGGGTCATGACTCTGAACACTGTGGTGGCTAGTCTATCCATCTAAAGGTGCATTCAGGTATTCCCATCTCCACCCGCAAGGCATCTGAGACATCCCTGGTTCTCCCCAGTTATTCCCCCCCATGTCTTCACTCCTGGGCCTTCCCATAACTCATCCAGGACCTGCCACACTTCTACCAGCATTGTCCGCTCATCATAGGCGGATGGACAGCTTCGCCCATGACGCTGCAGTCATGCTCGGCAGCTTCTACAGATCCGGAACCAGACTGCTCTCCAGAAGCTTCATCGCCTAGATAATGAAGTCAGTAAGAACTTTGTTTTCAGCATTTCTGCCGTGTTTCAGGGGCCGCCTGGCCAGCTCGGTATATGACGTTACCAGGAGCTGCTTATTAGGAGCAGCATTACGTTAGAGCGACCATTTTGGCTCGGTGGAATGTGGAGGAGCTGCGCCCTCTAGTGATGTATATGTGTAAAATCGGATACAGATTCCTGGCTGTGTGTATGGCTTCCCTTTCATCAGACGTCGTTTATAACGCAAATCAAATGCCAGAAAAATCCCTGCGTGTGGAGCCGGACCATAGGGATGATTTATAAAATGCCCCCTTTTCAGAGGACATTGGGCAATCATGAGTGGAGTTTCACATTTTCAGAACACCGATCTTGCCCATTTCCCAGCGCGTTTTCACCATATTTTCATATTCACTTATCCACTAAATCAGCCATCTCCCTCTCAGAGGTAAAGAAGTGCTAACCGTATCCACCATTATCTAAGTTAAAGTTATCTTCCACGGCAGGATATACACTATATTGCCAAAAGTATTGGGCCCCTCCCCCTCCAAATCATTGGATTCAGTTGTTTCAATCCCCTCCATGGTCCCCGGTGTATAAGATGAGGCACCTCGGCGTGCAGACGCTTCTACAGACATTTGTGAAAGAACGGGTCGCTCTCGGGAGCTCAGTGACTACAAGCGTGGTGCCGTGATAGGTTGTCACTAGGGATGCACCAATACTAGTATCGGTATCGGTGCCGATACCGAGTATTTGGTTGAGTACTTGCCCAAATGCTCCGATACCTAGCACGAGTACTTCCTGTATCAGGAAGCTGGGCAGCTCGTCATTACACGCTGCCCGGTTTCCTTATTGGCCGGGAAACTGCTCCATGCTCTCTCGTCACTTGTGATGAGAGAGCATGGAGCCGACTTCCTGGCAACTCAGGAAGCCGGGTAGCATGTAATGACGCGCTGCCAGGCTTCCCGATCGGTCAGAAAGCTAGCCAATCCGGAAGCCAGTGCTATGTAATGACGCAGCGCCCGGCATTCTGATTGGCTGAAAAGCTGGCGTCATGCTCCCTCGTCATCTCATGAATCATAATATTAAGAAACTGACCCAAAACCATTAGTTTGTATTGCTTTAGAAAAAATGTGACCTTGTCCTTTAAAAAAAAAAAAAAAGTATCGGTGAGTATGTGATCAAAAGTATCGGTGAGTATGTGATCAAAAGTATCGGTACTCGTACTCGGTCTTAAAAAAGTGGTATCGGTGCATCCCTAGTTGTCACCTGTGCAATAAGTCCATCTGTGACATTTCCTGGCTACTAAATATTCGGCTGTCACCTGTTAGTGGGATTATAACAAAGTGGAAGCAACTGGGAGCTATGAAGTGGTCGGCCACGTCACATGACAGAGCGGGGTCGGCGCATGCTGAAGCGCACAGTAGGGAGGGGGGACTGTTTTTTGGGGGTTGGTCTCCGCCCCTTAGTTCCAGTGAAGGGAACTCTTAAGACATCAGCATACTGAGACATTTTGGACAATCTCATGCTCCCAACTTTGTGGGAGGAGTTTGGGGGACGGTCCCTTCACGTTCCAACATGACTGCGCACCAGTGCACAAAGCAAGGTCCATAAAGACATGGATGGGGGAGTTTGGGGTGGAGGAACGTGACTGGCCGCACAGAGTCCTGACCTCAACCCCATAGAACACCTTTGGATGAATTAGAGCGGAGACTGCGAGCCCCTCCCCCAACATCAGTACCTGACCTCACAAATGGTCCAACATTCCCATAGACACACTCCTAAACCTTGTGGACGCCTTCCCAGAAGAGGCGGAGCTGTTATAGCGGCAAAGGGCGGAGCCAACCCAATACTGAACCCTACGGACTGGGATGCCATTAAAGTTCATGTGCGTGTAAAGGCGTCCCAATACTTTTGGCAATATAGTGGGAGATGAAGCAAGTAGGTCAGCTGTTGGACTTTCCTCAGTCACTAAGTCCCTGAAGGCTCGGTCAGAGAAGACATCAGCAAAGATCATATCCTATCTTTGGATGAAGTACTGCCGTTGATTTTATAAGGTGCTCCCAACGTGCCATGTTGCATGCAATCACAGCCTTATGGCTGAAGCCCTTGGTTCTGGATCCTGTGTGAAAGCAGAACTGGTGTACAATTCTATTCAAATGGCCTCTTTGGCAGTAAGTTGGAGGAAGCAGTCACCAGAGAGAAATTAGGCCTTCAAGACAGGATGGAGATGATTCTTCTCTAACAGATATAAGATACAATCTAGGGCTAAGGAGACAAGGTCATCCCAATTGTAAAGAGGTTGGAGGGTCACTCAAGCATTCTTTTTGAAGGCAGCAAAAGCCAAGGCCTCTGGAACTGTAAAACCTTTTTTTGATTTCCAGGGAAAGTAAACATCAGAAACAGTCACTTCTGGACTTTTAAGACAAGAAAACCTTCCTGCTAACAAAAAATAACGCGATGGGTTCAAAAAGCGACCCTACGACTCTAATACCTGAAGACAATACTGGAGCAAAAGGTGAAGATGCCCATCCAGTTTCAGAGAAATCTACAGAACTCTACTCTCCTATAGACTTGTGCGCCGTCAAAAAATGTGTTCCGTTTCCTAATATCCATTATTTCGTAATTCGTATCCGAAACTCAATTCGGATTCGTACGAAATACGGATTTTCGTTGGTTTCGGCACATTTTCGTAACTGTACGAACATTCGTTATGATGAAGTTAAAAAGCAAAAATACCTTTGTTAATATTGGAGTCGATGTGGTAGTTGTTTTTGTATCCGAAATACGAATTCCGTATTCGTATTTCGGACTTTAAAAAAAACTACCATCAACTCCAATATAAATGTACTTTGCTTTTTAACTTAAATATAACGAATGTTCGTAACGGAACGAAAATACATCAACGGAATTTGGTATTTCCCGCCTGTGTATTGTAATGCAGCTCTCAGCAGCAGCGCATCCGTATTTCGGATTAAAAAAAAAATCTTGTCATGTTGTTCAACCTCATTTACAGGGGTAATATTAGTTCCCGTTTCATAGAAATTCGGATCCGAAATTCGTTAACGGAATTTCGGATATACAGTAATACCTTGGTTTACGAGCATAATTCGTTCCGGAAGCATGCTTGTAATCCAAAGCGCTTGTATATCAAAGCGAGTTTCCCCATAGGAAATAATGGAAATTCAGATGATTCGTTCCACATCCCAAAAATATTCATATAAAATGATTACAATACTGTACTGTAATATAATAACGTATAAAATATAAAGAAAAATAAACCAATTACCGGTACCTTTTGTGGCCGGTGTGAGAGGGACAAGAGAGAGGAGGATTATTGTGTAGGACAACTTTCACTATCACTAACGGAATCACTGCTATCTCTTGACTCAATGGAATCTTTTTCATTTCGTGAAACCTTAACAAGGAATCTGTCCAATGTGACATTGCATTGTCGTTAAACAGACTCATCGCTCGCACTGCTACAGCCTTATTCGGGTGGCGCTTTTCTACAAAATTTTGCTCTTCTTGCAAGACATTTGCTTGTATATCAAAGCAAAATTTTTCAGAAATGTTTGCTTGTCTTGCAAAACGCTCTCAAACCAAGTTACTTGTAAACCAAGGTATTACTGTAATTATGAAACTGCAATTCGGATTTCGTATGCTTACAAATCTACGAATTTCAGGAAAATTCGTACGAATTTCGAAACGAATCGCACATGTCTACTCTCCTACATCTGTAAAAAATAGGTCAAGGCAACTGGACTTGCTGTATTTTTCTTGAAGATGTTTCACTGGTCGTCCAACCAGCTTTCTTTCATGAGTCCAATTGCCTTGACTTATTTTTTTTTTACAGATATACCATGTGACCTGCATGAATGAGAACCTTCACAGACATATCTACTCTCCTACCATCATAACAGTGAGGAAGAGGTCTGGAGGTCTGAAACCCAATAAGAGACCTCAAGTGACTGGATTGCCGATCCTTTGCATACTATCATCCTTGCAGTGCAACCAGAGTACCGGATGATATAGATGTTCTGGATGTACCATCTCTATGCCGATGACACTAAATTATATCTTTCTACTCCACAACTCACCCCCATCAGTGTCCTTGCGTGTCGCTAATCTACTAACTGACGTATCCATCTGGATGTCACAACACTTCTTAAAACTCAACCTTTCAAAAACTGAGCTCATGGTATATCCTCCTTTTTCATGGCAGCATACAGTATGATTACATTCTTTTCTTTTAATAAATTTACAACAATGGGGGGTTCTTGGAGGTCAAAGGTGAATAAGTTATCACTGGTTCTGTACCTATCGGAGTGTGAACCAGCTAGGTGGCGAAGGTGAATTTTCGTTCCTCTTGTTTCTGTAAATCATGTGAGCGGGTACCTTTTTATTAGGCCTTATTATTTCCTATCCTCTTCAGCTTCATCTAGAACAGGGGTCAGCAACCTTAAACACTCAAAGAGCCATTTGGACCTGTTTCCCACAGAAAAGAAAACACCGGGAGCCACAAAACCCTTTTGACATCTAAGATGAAGATAACACGGCATATATATCGGTTTTTACCTTTTATGTTATGTATATAGGTATATGTGGGCTTAGTAACGCACTGGAATCTGGGCTTACCTGAGACCCCACCTGAGTGTGACCCTGCAGAGCCCACCATAGATCATGCACAGCCCATCTGAGACTCTATGGTGGGCTCTGCAGGACCTCAGGTGGGCTGGCCCCTGGGTCCCTTTCACTGTACCTCCTCCCAACTCCTCTTACCTAGTGCTGCTGCTGGGGCCAGGCCTCCTCCACCCCCTCCCCTGTCACCTCTGCCATGCCGCCCCTGGTACAGCTGATACTGATGTAAGAGGCTGCCCAGACCCCTCACATGGGTACCGGCCTTACACATACTTCTCCTCTCCCGCCGCCTGTTACTAGGGATGCAGCCGGGAGAGGAGGTGAGTCACAGGACCCTGCACTGCCGCATATTCCACTAGAGGGTTGCCCAGGACCGGACCTCACTGGACCCCCCCACAGCCTCATGCCCCGGCGGTAGTTGCGTCCCTGGAAAGGGAGCCGCATCAGAGAGGGATGAAAGAGCCACATGCGGCTCCGGAGCCGCAGGTTGCTGACCCCTGATCTAGAAGAACGTTCATTTTTGCCTCCATTCACACAGGAGTGTTCGCAGAGAGAGAGATTTGCAGGGTGAATGCTCTGTGAATTGCCTATGAATAGACCCCTGGGTGTAATCACTTCGCTTTCTTATTATATCTCATGTAGAATTATGAAAGATATTTTCTCAGGAACATTTTAATATCGGTTAGAAATCTCTGAAAACATTTATTTTCTGCAAAAAAAAAGTTAAATAATGTTTTTATTATCCGTATTTACGCCTCTCGTTAAATTGGAAACTGATCTTCAAACAAATTCACCTTTTTGGAAAACCACGCATCGCTTTACTCGCATCGCACCACAAAATTGCGTCATCTGATTATTTTTTTCAGCTGTCACTCCGCTGGACGTAACAAATGACGGGACAATGCAACCGCACACATCAAACCAAGGTTGGTTGCAGGTCTTCCTTAAAATTCACAACAAGCTGAGAACCTGTGTGATAGGTTGGCCAACCTTGAGGGTAATCCGCAGATTCTGTCTCCGAGTCGCTGGTCTCGCACATATGTGGAAAGCAGATGTCACAATATGGCCGGTGACAAAGACAAAAAGTCTCTTCGGAGCTGCTGGTGTCTGACTCGGAGAAAGGAGACTCCGATCGGAACCCCAGTGGCTCATGTGTGTCCTGTCCCGCATGACTCCAGGTTATAATATGACTAGGCCGCCTGGAATAGTTTGGTGGGTCTGATAATTTGGATACCCATAGCCCACCATTTTCATGGACCCTCCTTCCTTCTGTTTGAACACCTACTTCCGTATTATTGGCTGGAGAAGGTAGATGCTGTGAAATGTCATCATTCGTTTCATCCAGTCTCATCTCACTTATGTGATTTAGAGTGTCCTCCATGTGCATGTTTGGACCTTCATATTTGTTGCTAGCCCCTTGGTTAATGACCCATCGGTCTACTTGGGGTATTTCCTTGTAGAACTGCGAGGAGGTTCCAACATTCCTACGACTGTATGCAAGTCCCCTCCTTCTTCGGGCCATGGACGGGGAAAAGCTGAGGCTAACATTCCGAAACCCTTCCGTAGAATGCCCTGTTGGCTCCCTGTGGGCGCCGTGGCTTGCACGTCGCGGTCCTCCAGGAGACAACTGGCAGCCTCCTGACAGAGTTTCAACACTAAGTTCCCTGAGAATCTCCTGCAGCTTCTCACTGCTCACATAGTTCACCTTCCTGGATAACCGCTCCCAAGCCTCGCCCTCTGCTCCTTTGTCTGTGCTTTCACTTTGAGGTTTTGAGGTGCCGTCCATGAAGCTCACATTTCTGGAGAGCATGGCCATTTCAGCCTCTTGTATTGGTATGGAGCATTCAGAGGGCTGGAGGTCGTTGCCTGGTGGTTCCTGGAGGTCTGCTTTGAGGGGCTGAGAGTTTTCAACATTTGACTCCATAGCTCCCTCTTCTTGGACATGGTGGTCTAGGTTTGTGTCGTTGTCCATCACCTTGTCACTCGTTTCCGGGCTCTCTGCCTTGTTGGTGGCCTCGCTGAAAGGAACTACTTGCTGCTGAATGGCCAGTGTAGAAGCAGAGAGAGTGGACACGTCTGGGATCTCTATGCTGCATTCTGAATTTAAGATTTGCACCAACTTTTCCTTTGCATTGGTAACTTGCTCCTGTAGACTGTCGATCACAGCGCTTTTCTGTGGAGCAAAATAACACAAGTGCATTAGCGGCTTTCAGCACAGAGATCTGGTGAGGGGAGATATTGGCAGAGGAGGCCGAGCTTTAAACACTTGGTAAGGTAAGGGCTGATTTAAGGGTTACACCATTGCAGGGGTGGCAACGAAATGACTGACAGTCATTTTGGTGTCACGCCCTCTAAAAAGTCGGACACTCGGTCATGGACCGACAGTGTGTGTGTGTGTGTGTGGGGGGTCATTACCTCGGTCAGTAGGCGTCTCATGGACATATTTTCGCCCAGCAGGTGGTAGATCTGCTCCTCGCTGTACATCGACCTCATGCTTTTGCTGGGGCTGTTGAAATATTTGGCCATTTGGACGGTGGTGTGACTG